ATCCTGTTGACATTCATGGTCTGGTTTGGATGTGTAGAAGAAAGGAACACATTTCACGCTGTTGTGAACTCCATGTGTGCGTATGCTAGGAAGGTTTTCTCCTTTTAAGTGTCTCCTTTTCTTGAAGAAAGGCACTTTCTGTTGTCTTTAGTTACTGTCCTTCAAGCCACATGTGTATTATCTCCCCAGCTACTGTTTATTTTGTAATAATAAATACATTATGAATATATATTATATATAATAAATAACTGTTGTTTCTCAACAGTTACACTCTGACAAGAAGCAGATCAGCGTGGGTTTCATTGGTTATCCCAACGTTGGCAAAAGCTCAATCATCAATACTCTGCGGTCTAAGAAGGTCTGCAATGTGGCCCCTATTGCAGGTGAAACAAAGGTAGGAAGAGAACCTTACATTTAGAAATAAAAATGAAATGTCTAAGTGCATTGTCAAAGGCAGAATTCATGTAGAATTAGCTCAGTGATGTTTTCAAGTCTAGCACTTGAACTGTGCAGGCTGCGTTTTCCTCTTACTCCTAAAGTCCACTGAAGTTTCTGTGTGTTAGTACCATCCTAAGATGCCTGCTGTGTGTTAAACTGTGCATGTAAAAAGCAGAGCAGGGACTGTGTGGAAGGAGGTGACCTGGGGAACCCCTGATCCCTTTCAGGTGTGGCAATACATTACCTTGATGCGGCGGATCTTCCTCATCGACTGCCCGGGTGTCGTTTACCCGTCTGGAGACACGGAAACCGACATTGTGCTGAAGGGAGTGGTAGGTACCTGCGCCAAGTGCTGCAAAACCTTTCCTGCTGGTAAGAAGATGGTGCGAAGAAATGAACGTGCCCTTTCCAAGGGGTTGATATTCTACCCTTCGTTTTCAGGTTCAAGTTGAGAAGATTAAGAGCCCTGAAGATCATATTAGTGCTGTGCTGGAGAGAGCCAAACCAGAGTACATCAGAAAGACGTACAAAATTGATTCCTGGGAGGATGCAGAAGACTTCCTTGAGAAACTTGCTGCTAGGACTGGAAAATTGCTAAAGGTGTGGCAACTTTCTGCATTTGCAGGTTGAAGAGCTTGTGGCCTGGCACTGAACGTGGGAATGCGAATGTTTGGTGCTTACAGGCAACGTAAAGGCCGTGTGCCTTGCAGACGTGGACGTAAGTTGTCACTGGGTTCTTCCAGGGTGGTGAGCCTGACCTGCAGACTGTGAGCAAGATGGTTCTCAATGACTGGCAGAGAGGCAGAATTCCCTTCTTTGTGAAGCCACCGAATGCAGAAACGGGTCCCCAGGTAGGAACGTGGTGCCCGTGCCTCTTCTCACGTATTTCCTGGTTTTCCTACTGGTATTCACTGTTGTTTTGCCCTGAGTGTCACGTAACTTGGGCAGTGCACACCTTGGGCTCTGCACGAGTCTGGTGATTCAGTGACACTCACTTGAATTTGGGCAGGACCAGGTAGCAATGCTCTTCACCAAACTGAGCCATTCTACAATGATCTGACTGCCAGAAATGTCAGTAATTATCATGTTGTTAGTCTGTCATCTTAGGCTTTTTCCAAAGAGAGAAAGTAGAAGTTGCTCTCAGAGATGGTGGGAAGGCTTCGTGTATAACAGATCCATTGCACTCTTTCTTGTAGCCTCCTGCAGTGGAGGTAGCTACGACATCAAGCCAGAATAATAACAAGGAGAAAATCTCCGAGTCGGCAGCAGCAAGTGTGGAGCCAGCAGAAGAGGAGAGTAACACGGACACCGAAATGAAGCAACTCATGTCACATGTGAGGCAGAACTTTGGGAGGATCAACGTGGCACCTCAGTTCTCAGAGGAAGACCTGGTTCCTGTAGACGTGCCAGGCTTTGATGAAACGGGCAGCGATTCCTCTGGAGAGGAGGAGCAGGAGGAGGAGAGAGAGGAAAACGAGCACCAGCAAGATCCGGTGGAGGGGGAGCCGCAGTTGGCTGCACCGGCTGCCAGGGAGAGCTCGCAGGTTCTTCAGGCTTTGGAGGAGAAGATTGCAAAATACAAAAAATTTCTGGATAAAGCCAAAGCCAAGAGGTTCTCAGCAATAAGGTATCTGAAGCTGTCCAGTGACTCAAATATTTTCAGGGGGTAAAGGGTTCATGTGATTTTCGCTGTAGTTTCACTCCATTCATGACTTGCTTGACTGGTTCCTCTGTGTTGCCTCACTCAAGGTGCCACAACTCGTCTAGTTTAGCCGTAAATATTTGAACCGTGGCTGTGCAGCACTTGGGTTTTGAAAGATTCTTCTAAGAAGTCCTATTTGCCATCATGGCTGAAAGTGTTCTCACTTTTGGCAAGCTGCCTCTTAAGCCATGCATTGAAAATCTGTTGGTGTCTTGGGTAGCACTGCTACGTCCTTGCACCACGGCTCATGTCAACCTGGATGTCCCAGCAGGACTGTATCCCAGTGCATGCAGCAGGCTCAGGTGCAAAGGTGCAGAGGCCGTGGCTTTGCTGCTGGGATCTCCTGGGGACCGGTGGCTTCTCAGAGGGTTACGTTCTGTGTTACAGTGTTCTTTTTCTGCTTATTTTCTTCTGCAGAATCCCCAAGCAGCTGAGTGAAAAAGTGTTTGCAAAATCCATGCAGAAGTCTGAAGAACCCAAAGAAACTGAAGACAGAGGTAAAACGAGATTAGATGTTTATAAACTGCAATTGGAAGTCTCAAAAGCAAGAGAAGAGAGGGAGTTAGGAGGAGAAGTGTTCATTAGCTCCTGATTGCAAGCTCTTTTTCCCCTAAAGCTGTTTAAATCTTTCCATAGCTCACCTGAGGGCTGCCTGGTGGCCTTGCTGTAGCCTTGCTGCAGAGTGCCTGGCTGTAGAACAAGTTATGTCCCTCTATTCGCAGAGGAGGGGTGAAGTGAAGGCCAGTCTTGTGTTTCCAGCAGGATGGTGCTGTGGGCAGGTTGCAGTGTGAGCAGCTTCTGTTCCACATGGTGTAACGTTACTGGAGGGAGTGGAAAGGTTTTACAGCTTCATAAAAGCACAGAGCTACTTCAGGCTGTAGGTTTCACTGTGGTGACTGAGATCTGTGGACTCAGTTTCCATAGTGAGCTTGATTAAAGGCAAAATCCTGTGGGAGAGCCCTACTGGGACAACACCAGGAAATCCTTCTGGGCTTGCGTGGGGCTCAAAGCAATCTGCTGCAGTTTTCATAGTGGTAGTGAGTGATCCTCTGGTAAGGAACATGAATGTTGCTTTGGTAGAAGCTGTTAAAATACGGCCAAAGGAGTGGTTTGCTGAAGGAGATGTGACAGTGACCCCAGTTTTAAGTTCTGCAAACAGAGGAGTGTTGTGGAAGATGCCTGAGTTTGTGATCTCTGCTGTATGCAGGCAACACAGAGAAGAAAAGAAAAAGGAAAGCAGAAGAGGAAGATGACGACGACCATCTGGGTCAACAGCCTTGCAGGAAACTCACATCCAAAGAAGTAAGTGTGATTTCTTGTTGTACAACAGATGAGCAGAGCAGTAGTGCTGGGCTTTTTATGCACAGGCTGCCCTTCATCACTTGAGCTTTGGGGCTGGGTGTTTGTGGGAGGGAGAGGGCGCAGGGACTGGCTGAGGCAGGGGCCACGTGAGGACAGTGATGTGCTGCTGGGTGAGACGTGGCAGCGGCGTGGATGTGTTCAGCTGAGCACGGCAGGGTCCAGCAGGTCACCACCGCAGAGAGCACTGAGGGGAGAGTCCTTTGGGTGACTTCTGCCTTCAGCGCTGGCTCACCCACTGCTGCGGTCTGAACCTCTGAACAGAGCAGGGTCAAGTGCTGGGAGAGGGGGGAATTTGGAGCTAGATGGGCAGTGCTGCTCTGTCCTCAGAGCTGCTCCTCCTCTCTTCTCTGTGTTAGTCAAGTCTAAATAATTCTTGAATAACTTAAATGCCAGTCTGTAGGACTTTGAAAGCGGTTTGTAAGGAAAGTTGTGCACCAAGGGCTTTGGAGCGTGGCTGGGGGGAGCAAGGAGTGACTTCTGCCTGAATGTTCTGTTAACGACCCCTTACTGCGTCAGGCTGCTCCTGGTCTGGTTTTTGGATTACAGCCTATCTTCCCTCGTAACATTTACGGCCATGGGTGGGTGGATCACATGAAGATGTCCGTGTATTCACACCAGTAATGTTTCACTTGGAGTTATTTATTTTACTTACGGGTTGTGGAATGCGAAGTGAGCAACATTTGAAAGAACTCAAACACATCGAGGCTCTGGGTGCTGTGCATCTGCTAACGTGTTCTGTGTGCATTTACAGAGGAGACGAGCCGAGAGACAGCAGCGCTCCAAGAAAGTTGGAGTCCGGTATTATGAAACTCACAACGTGAAAAATAAGAACAAGAACAAGAAAAAAACTGGCTTGGAGGGACAAAGATCAAAGCACAACAAATACACACACAAGCAATAACTGCTTATTCTATTAAATTTTACATAAAACAGCTCTAGTGTGCAGTGGCTTTTTTAATATGAAACTTGTCGTGCCCATTCGCAGCCTATTTGACTTGTCTTCTTGTTCCCAGGAGTAGCATCTCGCTCTTTGTTTCTGCATCATCTGAAAGTTCTTTATGCAACTGGAGATGCTGGTATTTCCACATCGCCAGCCAGGGCCAGAAAACTGCCCTGGCAAAACACATCCTGAAGTGGGTTTTTATCTTCTGGAAAACGGCTTCATGGAGTTTTTCAAAGTAATAACATTACAGAGAAGCCTGCATATAAAACAATTCATTACTTTATTGCCTTGAACGTCACCTAGCGTGTTACCAACAGGCAAGCCCCAGACAGGTTGAGTGTTCAAGGAGCTGAGTGCTGAGACAGCACTGAGAGAGGGTGCAGTCAGTAATGAAGTGCTTGAATTTCAACTCTAAGAGAAAAGCAAAGAAAGAATACGGTTCTGCTGCTGGTAAGTGGCAATTCAGGATCGCTTTTTGAGGACAAGTCTTTGTCACTTGCAAACTTCTTGCTCTGATGGCTCCTCTGAGCGCTGCCTGGAGGACAAGGCCACAGCCTACTTGGTTGCAGTGATGGCTTCAAGTTGGGCCTGAAAAACAAATGAGACAAAGTCAAATGGGGTTCACCCTAAAAACTAAACCCACCTTGCTGTCAAGTGATGAATTGTCTGCTGGATACTCAAAGCGAGGGGCTGGGGGTGCTGCAATCCTCGAAGAGAAGCGGGCCAGGGTTTTTTCCCTGGCCATTCCATTCCTTACTACATGTTTTATGAATTAGTTTTTCATTCTTGGCATACACGCTTGCTGCATTCTGAGAAGAAAAGAGCTGGCCTTGGTTCCATACAATGAAAGACTCATCATGTAAAGCATTGAAGAGGAAATGAAATAAAAGCTGGTGAAACAGTGAATTCTCTGATTTCAGGCTGGACTATGTTGGCTGCATTAAATACTTGGCTCTGTAGCACTGGGAGTGTGACCTGACTCGGGGGCAAGAGGAGCTGGGAATGGTTCTGAGCGTTGCAGATGATGCCCAAGCAGCAGTGATGGGAGAGCCCCTGCCTGGGGAGCACACAGAGCGGGGAGCTTCCAGGACTTCAATTTTCCTCTTCCTAGGGCTGCCACCAAAATAAACTGCAGCAGTGGGACGCACACAGCTGTTGGGGTGCTTGTGCTTCAGGGAAGGAACATGGGTTTAGTGGCAGCATGGATTTAATGCAACAGTTACTCCTTTTTGTGCCCTAAAACATTTCATGATGGCCTGAAGGTCACGGTTTAGAAAGGAGAAACTATTTATCAATTTCTGAACAAATTCTGCTCTCTCCCTACACACACACACGTTTGTATGAGTGAAATTCAGTTAATCTGACCTGGTTGGATCGCCAGGGTTACAGTAATGACCAGTTACTGAATGAGCAAGGATGCAGAGAATGCAAAAAGCATCACCCCATTTCACTGAGAGCTTAAAGAAAATGGAACATGAACACAAACACATCACGAACGTAACTCTTCTAAAACTATGGGGACAAAGTTATAACTGCAGAATGAGTTTTACCATCACTATTTGGAATTGCTTTTTTTAACCAACCTTCAGCTGTTGATTCATTCGTTTCAGGAACTGAATCTCTTCCGCGTGCTGCTTTTCTTCTATCATTCGCTTCTCATTTTCACTTTTTTCAATAGCTTCACATTTAGCTTTCTGTTCACTCACTTGTCTCTCCAGCTCCCGCTTTTCTTCTTCTAGCTCTGCAATCTTGGAGAAGAGCACAGATCTGTCAAGCTCGCTTTGTTAACTGAAAATGAGTTATTAAGATGGGACAAAGTTTTATGTCGTACAGCCTTTAAAGTGTTTAATATATGAAGTGCAACTGAGCCCTAAGAGAACACCAGGATTCCGACGGAGCGCGGTACTTCGATGATCTTTGCTGCCATCCAGTGGAAATATGAAACCAGTTATTTCTATAACATTTTGTCTCTAACATCCTTGTGCTGTATCATGTACAGAAAATGACGCTGTGGGGTTAACAGCCCAACTTACTCTTTTTTCCATGTCAGATTTGCCTTGCTCGGCTTGCAGCGCCTTCCGCACGCCAAACGCAGAACTGCTCTCGTACAGCGTCTGGTACGCTGCAATGGTCATCTGGATTTCATCCCTGACTCGGAGCAGCAACAGCCCCCGCTCCGCACAGTTAATGGTAACTTCACGGATCAGTTCATCTTTAAAGAGAGAGCACGGACAGTTACACAGTGCTGCCAGTTAAATCAGCCGAGGGTTAGGCACAGCCAGGAGCACTTTAAGCCTCTGACCGAAGCACTGCGTGTAGAGCTCCCTGCGCACGGGGCAGATCCCGGTCTCC